CCTCTAACATATATTTATAATTTATCGTTTCAAACTGGAAAAATACCAAACTTTTTGAAACTAGCTATAGTTAGTCCTATTTATAAAGCTAATGAAAATAATCTTTTTGAAAATTATAGACCTATATCGGTTTTAACTTGCTTTTCTAAATTACTTGAAAAACTTATGCACAAACGACTATATAACTATGTTGAGAAACATCAAATACTTTCAGAACATCAATTTGGTTTTAGAAGGAATAAATCAACTGAACATGCCATTCTTGAGCTAACCGATAAGATTTCGAAGGCAATGGACGAAGGTCTATATACAATAGGTATTTTCCTTGATCTTTCTAAAGCCTTTGACACAGTGAATCACGAAATTCTAATAAAAAAACTTGAACACTACGGAATTAGAGGAATATGTCTACAGTGGTTTACAAATTATTTACAGGAAAGAAGCCAAATTGTCAAATATAAGCAACATAGGTCAAATGAAATGAATGTTACGACTGGAGTCCCACAGGGTTCAATACTTGGACCACTCTTATTTCTAATATACATAAATGATATTGAAAATTGTAGTAACATCCTTTCTTTTGTTTTATATGCTGTTGATACAAATGTTCTTTGTTCAAATTCATGTTTAAAAAAATATTAGCTGACATTATACAAAAGGAAATGAATAAAATAGTGGCATGGCTAAATGCCAATAAATTATCAATCAACCCATCCAAAACAAAATTTATCATTTTTAAATCAAGAAATAAACCATTGAATCAAGAAATTACTCTCAAAATAAATAACAATATTATTAAACAAGCATCTTATGTAAAGTTTTTGGGCGTATTAATTGACCACGAATTTTCATGGAAGAACCACATTAGCTCAGTTCAGAAAAATGTAATAAAATCCGCGGGTTTGATTGCAAAATTAAGACATTTTATTAACAAAAACAGTTTGAAATTGGTATATTATGCTTTAGTCTATCCATACCTCACGTACGGAAATCTAGTTTGGGGAAATACGTACCCAACCAGGCTTCAAAAGTTACTGAATGTGCAAAAGAAAATTGTTCGACTAATTAGTTTTAAATCCTATATGGAACATTCAAAACCACTATTTTTGGATTTGAAAATCTTGAACATCTACCAAATTAATGATTATTTATGTAGTTTATTCATGTATCGTCGCTACTATTGTCAAAATTTGCCGGACTTTTATAATGATTACTTCAAACAAAATAACGATGTACACAACTATAATACGCGAAATTCTACCAAGTTACATGTGAGTTATAAAAGAACAAACTACCGTATATACACTGTATTTAACAAAGGAATTTCTTTATGGAATTTTCTTGATGACGAAATTAAAAATACTAAAACTTATTTTTCTTTTAAGAGAAAAGCAAAATCCCTTTACTTATTATCTAATTAATGTAAATAAATTATAAAAACCTTAGCAATAGCCTTAGGAACACTAATGATAGTAATGTACTATTTTATTTCTTAGTTTTTTTTCATCTTTCAATTTGTTGTAAATAGTTTCTGCTTGTATATAATTTCTTCTTTCATAGTCTTTTATCACTAGAATACTAAAACTAGGGGCCTTACTATAAAAGTCCAATAGGATTTCCAAAAGTCCCTAGCCCAATATACTACTGTAATTATTTTTTTACTACTTGTATATATTTTGTGGGCAAAAAAAAGTTAATAATAATAATTAATAACTATTCTAAGAATGGCTCTAAAAATTCAAAAAATAAAAGCAAACATAGTTTAAAAATAGTTATTTCATAGCTATTTGGAACAAAGTTCGCCACAACTTTCTATGAATAGGAATTAAATAGCTATTTAAGATCTATTTATTTTCCTATTTAATAACTATTTTAACAATACTCAATAATATCTCCAAAAATAAAAGCAAACATAGTTTAAAAATAGCTATTTTATAGCTATTTTGAACAAAGTTCGCCACAACTTCCTATGAATAGGAATTAAATAGCTATTTAAGATCTATTTATTTTGCCATTTAATAACTATGTTAAGAATGGCTCCAAAGAAGATAAGCAAAAATAGTTTAAAAATAGCTATTTAAAACTATTTTAACTGACTCGTTTGTCATCAATAGGAATTAAATAGCTATTTAAAAGCTATTTTATAGTGAGATTCCGTCAATTACTCTTTCAAATAGGATTTGAATATCTATTTCAAAGCTATTTTTTTGAAAAATATAAATAACCTATATTTTAAATAGGGTGTAAATAGTCGTATACTATTTTATGAAATTTGATAAATAGTAATAAAATAGTCATATGTTTGAAAAAATACGGAACAAATAGGGCTAAATAGAGAAAAAAATAGGCATAAAATAGGTTATAAATATGTCGGATTCTACAAGGGTAGGTTCAAAATAAAAAACAAGTCATTTGAAAGTCACGCGCAATCTTCGCGAAAACTTCTCGTGGACACATGACAGGGGGGTGCATATTTCCACGAAACGTTTGTTCGCCACTAAATATATTGTATTTATTGTATTTTTATGATTTATGACAAAACTACGCAAATATTTATTGTTTTTATCATAAATCATGAAAATACAATAAATACAATATATTTAGTTATGTTTCTGTGGTGGCGAACAACACAAGCTCTTATGATTTATACAAGTAAGTGCAATAATTTAAATATATTACGTTATGATGTTTTATTCATATTACGTTTAAGTAATGTTTTATTCATATTCATAACACAGCTCTTAGTTGGACCCCCTGTAATAGTTTTCAAAAATTTTCACATTTTCAAGCCTTTACGTATTTATCACTTTTTGCACAAGTGAGAGGCGGAAATCTACATATTCTGCCAGGCGCTTAGCTAACCCGCTGCGTCCTGCCCAAGCACCTCCGTGCGCTCGCTCAATCAGCCACTGATCTATAAAAAACACTGTAGTGTGCCTATTTTTAGTTAATTGCCCCTGGGTACGAGGCTGTACTAAGCTACTGTGCTAATTACAAAAGTTCAGTCGAAATAAAATCTATTGGGACCTGTGCGAGTGTTCAACTAAGCTGATTTAAAATTTAAAATTAATTCAAAACCTACTTTGTCTATACGTAGTTGTTAAAACCTCTCGAGCAAATAGTTAATGTTATCTCGTTCTTATAATTTTGTATGTAAAATTTGTTTTCATGTCTACACTTGGAGATAAGTTCGTCTCGTGTGTTCAAAAGGTGTGCGTTTCGTCCTTTCAAGATGGCTATATATAGCTTTTCACAGAGGCATAACCCGCATTGGTTGGATCCGTTGTTGTAAGCCTTTGCTGTGTCAATGATTGACCAACAGATTTTGTATTCTTTTTCTTCGTTCTTTAGACTCCACACATACTTTGACAATGATGTTTTGTTGCTGTAATCGATGTTGTTGAAAGAGCTCCTGTGTTGAATAAAGCGTGTTTTGAATGTTCCCTCAGTTACGAAACAAGAACACGCACGAAAGCTGCAATTGCAATACAAAAGAACAATGTCCACTTAAAAAGAAAATTCTCGTCACAAACATCGTGAATAAAGCCCATATAACCACGAATGACGATCCTCAAGGGAGAGATTACATCTAACTTGTTTGATATCAATTGGGACTCAAGTTCTGTTTCAGACTCCTGTCACAAGTACTAATTATTTTGTTAGTTTTATTTATTGTTCTAGTCTCAGTTGTGATTGTAAAATTTTTTCTATGTAAACGTGACAAATTCATTAAACTAAACTAAATTGAGAGAACTGAGGGAACATTCGAAAAGCGCTTTATATTCAACACAAGAGCTCTTTCAACAACATTGATTACAGCAACAAAACATCATTGTCAAAATATGTGGGAGTCTAAAGAACGAAGAAAAAGAATACAAAATGTGTTGGTCCTGCAATCATTGACACAACAAAGACTTACAACAAAGGATCCAACCAATGCGGGTTACGCCTCTGTGAAAAACTAGCCATCTTGAAAGAACTAAACGCACGCCTTTTGAACACACGAGACGAACTTATCTCCAAGTGTAGACAAATTTTACATGCAAAATTATAAGAACGAGATAACATAAACTATTTGTTCGAGAGGTTTTAACAACTACGTATAGACGAAGTAGGTTTTGATTAATTTTAAATTTTAAATCAGCTTAGTTAAACACTCGCACAGGTCCTTATAGTTGACCTGCATCTAAGGACATATAGCCTCATTAATATCATTATCGAAACGTAAGCATAAGCAAAATCGCAGGTTTCTACTGGTTGCCGCTTTTTAATTTGCATGCTCATGGGAAAACTATTTTGCTCCATCCTAAACACTAGACTAATGGATTTTGTAAATGAAAAAAAAACTGATACATTAATCCCAAATTGGTTTTATTCCTGGAAATCGAACTGCGGATCACTCACTCACACTGAAAACTCTACACGACAAATTTATAAACCAAAACGAAAACAAAAAAATTTACGCATGCTTCGTTGACTTTAAAAAAGCCTTTGACTCTGTATGGCACCAAGGCCTGTTTTATCAATTATTGCAGAACAAAATAGGAGGACATTTCTATGATCTTATCACAGACATGTACTCTAATACTAAATGTGCGATCAAAGTCTCAGAAAGCTGAACCCCCTTTTTCCCATACAAAAAAGGTGTTCGCCAAGGATGCACTTTAAGCCCATTACTCTTTAATATCTACATCAATGAAATACCGAAACTTTTCGAAAAAATCGAATCAGACCCTTTCATGCTACCAAACGGAACCGAATTAAATAGTCTACTATACGCAGATGACCTAGTAATACTCTCCCGATCAAAATCAGGTCTTCAAAATTGCCTTGATCAACTCCATGAATGGTGTGAAAATTGGTTATTGCATATAAATACTAAAAAGACAAAGATTATGATTTTTCAAAAACGTAACTCTAGCCAACCGACCAAGATACAATTTCACATTGGAGACAAAAAAATAGATACAACTAAGGAACACAATTACCTTGGCCTCAAAATGTCACAAAACGGAAAATTCAAACTTGCTCAGCAACAACTGGGTGAAAAAGCTCTTGATGCACTTTATAAAATCCGAAAAAACATTGACTTTCGCAAACTAACACCAAAACTTGCAATGAAGATTTTTGACTCGATCATTTCCCCCATATTACTGTACAACTCAGAAATTTGGGGTGCTTACAAAAAAACGACTATAATAAATGGGAGAACTCAGAAATCGAAAGATTCTGCAAGTTATATTTGGGTGTAAACAGAAAAGCAACAAATGTGGCTTGCAGGGGAGAACTTGGTAAATTCCCTCTCCTCTTAACAATCAAGAAAAACATAATTAATTATTTTAAACATCTTAATCTACCAGCTACCCGAAAACTCAATTGCGAAACAAAGCTTAAACATATCCAAAGATCTTTATACCAACCATAAAGAATCATATTACTCAAAAACAGTTAATCTACTGAAACCTTACTACCCAAACGAATTAAATATTGAACTAGCTATCTTAAACTATGACACTACGACGGTTGTAAACAAAATGAAAGAAAAATACATCAAATTCTGGAAACATAAAATAACGGATTCCTCTAAACTAACATTTCTATCCACTTTCAAAACCGAATACAAAGTTGAACCATACCTATCCATCATTAAAAATCCAACAACAAGAAGAACATTTACGCAATTTCGAATAAGCAACCACAAACTACAAATTGAATACGGGAGATACCAAAATATCCCTCGTGAAGAACGCACCTGCAAACTGTGCAAGTCTGGCGAAATAGAAGATTAATTTCACTTCAGTCTTGCATGCCAAAAATACAATCAACTTCGAGACAACTCAGATCCGATTTTGAAAACAATATTTGATCTGAATGTAACAAATGAAAGTAAACGAAAATTATTGCAACACACAATGATTTCCAACGATCCAGTAATCATTAATCTTTTTTCCGAACTTATCTCCACGTGTTTTGCTAACAGAGAAAATAGTCTCAGATCCATGGAACAAAACGCAGTAGGATAAATAACCTAACTACTGCATGTATATACTATTATAGATACTTTATAGATACTTTATACATCCTTATAGATACTTTAGGTCATCTTTGACCATTATTATACATACTTTAAGTCATTTCTGACCATTATATATTATAGATACTTTAGGTCATTTCTGACCATTATTATAAATACTTTAGGTCATTTCTGACCATTATTATAGATATTTAGGTCATTTCTGACCATTATTATAGATACTTTAGATAAATGCTGCAATACCTGTAAATAGGTCATGCGAAATAAAGCTTATAATAATAATAATAACGCTTAGGCAAAATACTTGGTTGTTATTCGTTGTGACTGAACGGGACTATATCCTGAATAAATTGAATGTCGATACATGTGTCATGCATGCATCATGTTAAAGCGGCCGGTATTTCAAACTTATAGCTCGATCGATCGTAGTGAATTATTGTTAGGCCTATATACTGATATACGCAAACATTTCTAGTGGCGAGATTCGAAGAGAAGGTGGTTTCCTCATGCTCTCCTCAGCTATAGAAAGAAGTGTGACTGAATGGCTTCGTGTATATATACAGGGTGTCTCAAAAAAACCCCAAAATCATTGAAATAACGTATTGTTCGAATTTCAATGCCGTAACATAAAGGATTTTGACAGGGTGATTAATTTGTTTTAAAAAATTAAAATATCTTTGTAAAGTGAACGTTTGTTTGCTCATGGGAATTTAAAAATGCTTCGTAAATTGTAATATGCGTAATATGCATTTGTGGGTTTAGTACTTTATGCCTGACATAACAAGTTTACGCTCAGTATTACCATTCATTATAGCAGTTATGTCAATCTTTTATGCACTCGTGGGATTAACTTAGTGCTAGGGCATTGAATATCGAACAATACGTCAATTTCAATGATTTTGGGTTTTTTTGAGACACCCTGTATAGTAGATGTTTTGCAACTAGAACTTGATCGACAGTAATCAGGTCTCAAGGGAATTTATACATACTGTACCGTTATAAGGAAGTGAAAATATTTCAACTATCAAAATAATTTGCATTTGAATGTAATAATAATTACTTTACTGGCTATAGTTTGGTTGCAAATGCACGCGATTTACCGTTATGTAGTCGCTCATACAAGTATGACAGGTCCCCAATGCAGGTATAACTCTTCATTGCATGCATGGAAATTGTGTTTCCCCTTGTATAATTACTTAGTGAAATCCACCTACAATAACAGATTGTGCATTTGGATGCATAAACAGCCAAGTCGTACCAAAAATGCATGTCAAACCCAATCTGGGCAAAACACAATACTGTTTCAAGTTATCATATATTTACTATATATTCCAGTTCGATATACTCGCTTTCTGCATATGCACTTATAATATCGGCCCGGGAATGGAATTTGTAGAGGCAAGCCTGCCTCGTCCCTCGTCGCTTCAGTTGGGAATAGAGATTAGTGGAAAAACAATGGGAGCGCGGTGCTTAATGGGAATGCGATAGAATCTGAAGCGACTTTTAGCTAAAGACTAGTTTCCATTCGGTCGTTAGTTGTCGCTGGCACGACAAGCGGTAGATGAGAAATAGTCTAATATACTAATAGTCTTTTTGTGTGTCATATGCAAATCAGTCTTAATGATTGCAGCGTTTTACTATGAAGTTTTGTTGACACTCTATATTGCACCAGCCACTTGTCGTGCCAGCGACAACTAACGACCAGGAAAATAGGCTTAATTAAGCAACTGTTACTTAAAGTCGAAATTACAACAAACATTAAATAGCTGTAGCCGCACTTCGTAAGGCCATTTGAAAAAGCGTCAAATATTTATTACAGTAATCAAATTGTTTAGCGCTCATACATTTATGGACTGAAATTTAGGCTGCGTCGTTGAGACAGCCACGTCGTAGACCGTAAACACCCTATGGTCAAGTTAACAATTGTATCAGCTTGTTATTAACCCCTGTTGAGCGTACTGTTGTTGCGTTACATTCATGAAATTTTTGGTAAAATGAATTAACGATTCTTTGTATTACTTCAGTTGTATGCTGACAGACATACTTTACACTTCTGACATGCACGTTCTTAATGTGAAAATGTGTTCCTTGGTGAAGCTACATCCGCACAAAGTAAGTCATATTTACAAATAAATATAACAATAAATATGTCGTAAGGAACTAGGAGAATACATGTTGCTGGGTTTCACAACAACATGCATGTGAAACGCGTCATTTCGGTCATGCAGATGGTCGTTGCCTCACGTAAGAACGATAGCAACTATTTTGTTCTTATGATCGAAAATCTCAACGTGTTATCAACGTGTTGTCTACGTGGTTTTAGATGAGGTATATAGACGAACGTACCAGTTCATCTCATTTTAAAAATTGTGTTATCAGAAGTATTTTGAACAGTGTTTTGGCAACGTATATTTACGCAGTAATGCGTAACATATAATGCAGTACAAGAGAAACGAACACGTTTGTTTTTGAGAATCGAACCCAAGATGACGTTTTATAAAAAATCGACAGATTTGGGCTGATGTGTACACAGGCGTCGTTTTCAAGAGTTTTCAAAAATGCATTTGTCCTTTTAAGCGTTTTGACGCCTTGCTCACACAGTCGAAAGGAAAATATCTTTAATATATTAAAACAACTACAACTTCTGTCGTAAATTGATAGTTTTTGCACCCGTTTTAGCGTGAAAAACGAAATGATAAAAAAATGAAAACGCCCAAAAACGTTGCACACCAAGGGCGCGGACGTCGTGAAAACGACGTGAAAATGGCGTGCCATACCCATACGTCAAAGACGTCCGCGTTTTCAATCTAAATCTGTCTGATGATCCATTTAGATCGGATAGGGTGAACTGTAAATTACGAAACTTTTCAGTGAAATTTAGCCTAATGCAAGACTAGTACGGTTAACTGTGATTTTTTAAGGGAAAATTAGGTTGATGTAAAGCTACTGTAATTTAGACCTAGCTCAAACGTCGGATTCAATAGACAGATTTAGATCGAAGACAGGGACGTCAAACACGACGTAAAAATGGCGTTAAAATGACTTGGGATATCCATACATGGGAACAACACACCATTTTCACGTCGTCTTCGATGTCCGAGTCCTCGATCTAAATCTGTCTAATGATCTCTATAGATGAACTGCAAGTTTCGAAACTCAGTGTTCAGTGAAATGTAACTTAATGCAAGACTAGTGCGTTTTATTGTGATTTTTGGAGGGAAAATGTATATTGTAAAATCATGTCCAAAACCTAAGTACATAAGTTTGTAAACTCAATTTTTGAGTGATTGCATATTCTGGTTCACGTTTAAACCGCTATAGCCCTTCGTGTTATAGATTCTCGAAATGACTACCGAATTGGATTAACGCTGCTGCTAAAATGTTGTACTGGGCGATCCTAACTGGCTGGTTTGCCTACATAATTTAATAACAAAACATATTCAGCTTTTTTACGCATGGCATATATAATTTGCATCGATCATGAATTAATAAAATCTGAAAGACTTGTAAGTTGCAAATACAAAATTATTACCACTACGTTCAATAAATATGATCAATCGTACAGCCAAACGTCTTTATCCTTTAGTATTGTTTTACAATAGGCAGGGGTCCGCGTTGTTGAGGCTTTCTTCATTTACTAGAATGCGACCCCTCGTCTGCATGTCTATCCAAAAAACAAACGCATTTCCGCCACATTGTTTCGAAAAACACTAAGTACAAATATGACTGCACGCTATTGTGTTTTAATTATGGCAACACGGTAAATGTACTAAGCGAGAAAACGTTTTAATAAAGCATGGGTCAAACAAATGCTTGAGATTTTAGCAGTGGCGTAGCTGGCTGAAAATATCGAAACGTGACGATTCGTGCGATTGTGAAGTTTCAATACACCTTTGACAAGAGTATTTTAAAATACAAAAAAAATGCCATCTGGCTCAGAGAAGGTCGTGAGCTCAGAGACGTGCTCTGTTTGCCCAAAATATCTTGGTCTTTGCCAAGGGTGTCAATCTTTCCCAAAAAGGGGGGAACGGACTCCAAACTAGGAAGGTCCTGTGGTATGCTACCCGAATTCTTTTTTAAAGAATTGAAAAGGCATTCCAGCTTTTGGAGGAAGAGTGTCTAAAAATCGCTATATGGAAATTCAAGAGGCTGTCCGCCGCTGTCGTGTCTCATAAACATGGCTAAACATTTAAATTTTTACATAAGACGAAAGAACAG